TCAGTACTTAACAACTTTTTTTTCTTAACTGAAAAAATGCAAAATGCTTTTTCCACCCCCTTCTCATCTTAAGGCCAGCTCAGACAACAGACATTTGTTTAGAGAGAAGAGAGTGGACTTCTGGTGAAAGAAAGGACAAATACAAAACTTCACTTTGTCAAAGTAAGCATGGAGAAAAACAAGTACAGAGCAAAAGTCCATCAGGAAAATTTAAAAGGTAAGTTTATATGATGGGAGGGGGGAGAAAGAAAAATGGAGTTTTCTGCTCATACTCAGATGTTTTGTACATTTGAAACTGAGGATAGTTTTATTAACTTTTCTGCAATGAACATATTTTGATTTTTATGTTAGTGGTAGGTATGTAAGAAGGAGAAAAATCTGTATAAAAAACATATTGTCTTTTTACTAGTCCTGGGACTAGTCAATCACCTAGCAAATTTATGCTTGGGACATCCAAGTATTAGAGATCTAGAGGCAACAGCTTGGGTTTCCATGGTCCCACCAGAGGATGAGGAAAAGCAGCTGAAGTTACTGGAGTTAGTTATGCCTTCACTGCATTGATGCCCAAACAGGCTAAATTAAGAAATCATACTTAAGATGTTTGTTCTATAAATATCTCTTTTTCCATTTAAATGCACGTGTAGCCCATTTTAAATATCTCCTGTGACAAAGTGTTTAATTGCAACATGCATGGAACAGGTCAAAGAAAATATACCAGTCTCTTGAGAAGAACAAAGTCAGACAGGGAAACCCTCCTGAATTTTACCAAGCTCTTACACTCTCTTTTGTTTTTTATGCAAGCAAGTATGCAAAAGAATTACGTATCTTGATTTCATTTTGCATTGTAACTTTCTGCATTACTTGGATATAGAGCAGAATTGCAAAAAAAACCCTCAAAAAAACCAAAATCACAGAGAAAAAGGGGATCCATTCCCTAATCAAGGAGCATTCCACACAGACAGCTGTGCTTGCACAAGAGGGCAGAGGAGAAAAAATGAACCAAAGGTGCAGGAAACAGTACTTTAACTATAGTGCAGTTTGTTATCAATTCATTGCAGGCTTAGATTATTTTCTGAGGCCAAGTAGGCAACACTAAGTGCTCACTGGATGCATTCAGTCCCAGCTGAGGAGACATACTGCTTAAACCTCAGATTTCCCCATCCCACAGGGAGGTAAAAATTCCAAGAGCTGCAATTTTTTAAGCACTGACTACTAATTTATTTGGAATAATTTCTGAAGAATAGCAGAGGATGGCTTCAATAAAGAAAACAGTTTTGAGACAAAATTGCAACACTATGATTTAATGAAAACAAAGATCAAGGCTAGATTCCTCTATGCTTGAGTGCCAAGCCATGCGGATGTCTCTTCCTTTCTAAAGAAACTGCTAGTGAAAGGGTCTGGACTGAATATGCTAAAGGGTGCAAGTACAAACAGAGGTCTAATCTGTGTGAAACTGCTAATTTCCTTCTCAGAATGGTGAAACAAAGTTCAGCATAACACCTTGAGCCCTACAAATTCTGCACAGCTGTGTTTTTCAAGCTAGGTACATACCTGGGTAACTCTGTTAAAAGAATTATTCTAGATGAAGTAATCCAGATAACAATTTAATTGCATTTGTGTTTCTTGGGACAGAGAAATTTTAAGAACTTTATCCTTGGACTGTTTTAAGGAATTACAGGAACTTCCCAGTGAAAGAATGTAGACAGTATAAATGAGCATCTTAGGAACAGCAGGCTTATGCAGCAATGCTATTGTCCATGATGTGAAGCAACTTTTTTTGCTGCCTGGGCCAAAAAAATGTCTCATCTGTGAGAGGAACTTCAGCTCTGTGCTTGCTAAGGTGTATTATTTAACAAAAAACTGCTTCCAACCATGAGGAAAGACCCTGAACTAAAGAGGCAGAACAGGACTGAGTACTCTAAGCAGTACTGCAAAGCTGCAGTATCTGGCCATCAGCTAGAGCCATCCCTATCACAAAAGGTGTCAGGTCAAAACTCAACACAACTGAAGGCCCCCAAAAAAGAGACCAATGCACAGCCAAACTGGGAGAAAAGAATATAAGCTGGTATTACCAAGAGGTTCTGAGAGGACACCCTGGGCATTAAGAGACCTTTTACAGGATGATTCTGTCCTAAGGAATAGCAAGGATTTAAGATAATAGAGGAACTTTGCTTTTTACTTAGCCTAATAGCTTCTGCAAAGAGGGTGGGGGAAATTAATTAATTTAAATACATATGGCCTGCAGCGAGTGGCTGCACATTTTGATCTTATTGCCTTTGGGGTTTCAGTGTTTTTAAGCTCCAACACGGTATGACCTTTCATGACTTTCATAGCAGACCATTCCTACTATCCTTCATTCTGCTCTCTGTATGCACCTAGATAAAACAATCCTTTCAATTTAAGGCACAGCAGGACTGTAGCTGCTACCTCAAAAAACCCCTAAACATATCCAGGGAGGTAGCAATGAAGGGGTTGAAATGGAGATGCTAAACCTTTTCCAACATACATTAGAAGAGATGTGTTGGTAAGTACTGCTGCAGTCACTTTTGCAGGAGGGGGTTTTCTGCCTCCACTCTGTCATTGATAGTTCACACACTGTCCTTTCAAGTACTGAATTTGGCAAATGGTTCAACCCTTACCCACAATTGCACACACTAAAATCCATAAAACCTTCTAAATCTAAAAACTACCTGGCTCTTTTTCACATTGATTCACAGAGCTTTCACGGAGGGGTAAAAAGAATGCCAGTAGTATTTAATTTCACTTTCATAACACAGATCTCTATCCACATAATAGAACACCAAATCCTCCATCACCAGTTAAGACAGGATTGTGCTTTACTTCCAGGTAACATTGTCTTGCCTTCATTGAAAGCCTTCCTTGAAAATTATTCAAATTTTGTTTCTGGTTGGTTTTGTTTTGAACAAACTGCTTTGCAACAACACTGAAATAAAAAACCCCAAAAATACCAAAGCACACAGACTTTCATAGCAGATAAATGTACATTTCATTTTCTTTACCTTCCTGTCCTTTGCTACTTTTGAAATAAAACAAGATTTGATGGATTTCATATCAAAGTGTATCTTAAGAGCTCTCAAGCAGTAAATTAAATAGTTGGGGAAAAAAAAAAAATCAACCAATAAACTTGATTTGTGAACCATCGGCAGAGTAGAAGAGAAGGTGGTGAAGAGAAGGTGGTGAGCAAAAAATTGCCTGTGTTTCTCATCCACTTAGAATTTCCACCATCAGCCAATACCAATGGGGAGAAAGGAGGACCACAAACAATAAACAAGTGGTAAGTGGAACCCTGGTAAGTCTCTAGGTAACTTTTTCTGCTACAAATCCCTACACAGCTTTCCAGTTACGTACTTCAAAGACCAGAGAAAAGACGGGTCTGTAAGACCCGGGGATTTACAAGCCTGAGGTTGTCTCAAAAGCTGATCCTCACCAACATCCCAGTTCCCAGCAGTGTCCTTAAGGAACAGTCAGGACAGTTAGATTAGGCAATGTCTAACTAAATTTTGCTGCTTTGGCTCTGTCCAAGACACATCCATAAGCACAGTAAAAGGTACCACTGAGACTGTTCTAGTAAGATACATAGCTTCCTTTCATTGATCCCAACTACTTCCAAGACAGATTATGCTGTACACAGTGTAAGAACTAGACTTTAGCCTAGTTCTTAAACTCTGTTTAGAAAATTACAGGTAAGTTTGCCAACACTCAAAAAAAACTAAACAAAAAAAAAAAAGCCCAACTCTCTATGTATATAAAAAGTTATTCTAACAGTTGTGCAAAACACTGAAGTGACCATTTATGCCTTTTTTCCCCCCTTCTTTCCCTCCAATATTTCCCTGAAAAACAGGGTTAGTCTTATTTCACCAATCCTCTCTTCAGAAAATTCAGTGCTTCTGACATGAAGCCTCTTCTCCAACTCTAAGTCAGGAATTGTATCTGCCTTTTGCAGAATGAGGCATCAGGAACAAGAGAGCATTTGATTTTACCATGCTAGGCAAGTTGTTTATTAAATCTGCAACTTCTCTGAGATAACATGTGCAAAAAAATTAACAGGAACTCATTTCTTTATGGACAAAGAGGTAAGTCTAAGGGTTTTTTTTTCTTCTTTGCACTCATGCACAGATATTCTGAGAAATCCAATGTGAGTTTTCACTTCCCCAAGCAGCCACATCACTATTCTTTCTGAATGCTTAGGTCACAAAGTTGAACATGGTTGTTTCACTGTCTTGGTACAAGTCATCACAACACCACCTCAGATATTACAGAAAATCTAGCCACACCATACTGCAAATTTCTAGCACTGCAGTTCTGCTTCCTGCACTCAGGGCCTGCGTGTTGCCCTCAGTCTGGTCAGATGGGCCAGCTCTAATCTCTTGATTGCCTTCTCAGCCGTGTTTGTTTACTCCCACAATCCACCACCGCCTCCACCACTACACTTGCCCAGTACTTACCAGGGTGGAATAGCTTCCTACTATTTATCAAGTGTTTCCACTTCATCATTATAAGAAGTGCCCCCAAACACAGGCACTAAGGGCTGCTCAGAATTCAATGAACTATTAAAATCACTCTAGGTAACTGTCAGGCAGCTAAGCCAGCGCTCAAATCTGTTACCCAGCTTTATTGAAGAGAACACGGTTACCAGCTCCTCTTAAAGACAGGACTACTTCCACCATCCCCCAAGTGGTTTAGAAAATAAGCTGTTACTATTCTAGTGCATTTATTTTTTCTAGTTTGGTTTGGGGGTTGGTTTCTTCATATTTTTTCTTATATACTGAAAGAAGAGTATGAACACATACAAAATTTCCATTCACATATTTTACAAGTTTCTGATGGATGTTCAGTGAGTTCAACCACCCTGTAACTTTGCACTCATCCCAGAATAATCTCTTTTCAGGTTTTTTTTCAGTTTAGCACTGGCACTACCAGCTGTAGTCCTCTGCTGCTAGCAGCAGTAGCTTTAGACTCGATAGTGAGGAGGGACTTACACTGGTCACTCGACGGTAGATCTGCGCAGCATTTTGGCACTCGGAATAAGGATATTCAGACGTGGCCATCTCTAGCATACACATCCCAAAAGCATATACATCAACGGATTCATCATATTTCTCCTCATACATCTCAGGGGCCATGAACTCTGGGGTACCTTAAATTAAAAGAACGATTCAGACTCTAAATGTCTCAAAGCGAGCAGAGGCTGCTGGCGTTACTCACCGCAGGGGCAAGCGGCTGGGCAAACCTGTGAGACAAGAGAAAGTGGAGGCAAAAAGAAGAGGGAGGAAACCCTTAGTGACTCTGTTGCACCAATGTACTTTGTGAGTCTTCCATTGCAAGGCCTTTATGGAATAACAGTGGCATGTGACAACTGATGGAATTCCCTGTTTAGGTATGTTAGTTGATACAAATATCAGAACAGACTGGATTAGCCTGAAATCAAACAGGAGGGGAGGGGATAAGAAGAGGGAAACACTGTAGACTAGCCATAGGCTGCAAACCAAATACCAAGGACAGTTAAGGCACTTACCTTTTCTCCCTGTAAGAAAAGAGGCACATTAAACCTTGTTTCATAAATTACCTGACTGCCCTCTGCTGCAAAAGAAGTAGTACTGGTAAGAGCCCACAGCTAGTCTCTGACCTGATGCTCTCCATCTACTTAGTGAAGTAGAATGGATGAGGTAAGGCCTTGCAATGAAAAGCTCTGTTGTTACAAATAAAAATCTCTGTGAAAAGAGGATAAAAGGTAATTTTCTGCAAAGGCCACTCACCAGAGCCCTTTTCTTCATATACTTACCTTCCCACCTGCAGTATATTTATAGGCCTACTGCAGATACAGGCATTAGTGAGGGACATCCTACAGTCAAAAATACTCAGAAATACAGAGAGATTGAGTTACAGGCATAGAGCGTGAGATTCAACAAGTCCCATTTAAATAGTGTGCAGAAAATTATTGCCCAGTGAAGCATCACAGATCCCCTCTGCAAACAAAGGGACTGCATTGTATGATCAGATATGCTTTAAGCCAGAGATGCAAGTTTGCTTTTTGTAAATTTAAACACAGAATTATTTCCTGCAGACACCAGATTCCAGACAATTTACAGATCATTCTACAGCCCATTGCTTTTTTCTCCACGCTAAACCAAAAAGAATGTAATTGCAGTCATTTATCCAAAGGCTAATCATTAACAGATAACTATGCAACAGATGGTAATTTTCCAGTGATAAATTTGAAGATATGACAAATATGCTTAAGAAATTATGGGTTTTAACACCATTCTTTTTTTCCCTATTAATACTTTGACCTGGTTAAGAAGCAGGAAATATTTCAGCGACAGCTTGCAAGAAAATTTACAGGTATACGCCATTGATCCCAGCTAGGAATCTGGCACAGGACTGTTGAGTAATGCTGAATTTTAGCAAGCTCTAAATACTGAGAGTCAAAGAAACGTAATTCCCTGCAGTCTATTGACCCAACTATAAAAACAAAGCTGATAAAACCAATTCTTTGAAGAATTCACAAGAAAGATTACCCTAGTTCCACCAAATCAATTTCTGAAAAAGGTTATGAATGGATACACAGGGACAGAGCCAGAATAAAGCAGTATTTCCCAATGCACCCTCCTAACTCGCAAAAATCCACATTCTACAGACTCCCTGAGTAAGGCATTATACCACAGTCTGTTTTATTATTTAAATACATATACATAATATTGACTTTCTTTGGTATACCTCAGTTTCTGATTACTCACAAGCTGCAAGAGATTCAACATTGTCCTGGTGACAATTAAAAAATAATTTGGCTGTATGAACTAATGCTACACTAAATATCAAAAAGTTGTTTGGTCACCAAAATGCATCTGAACATTTCTTGAAGCAGCACCACATCAAAGCTAAGATTTATATGTAGTGAAGAGTGGTTTTATCAACAATGTTGCACTAGATTGTTGGGCAGGACAAGAACCCTATATCCTGAAACAACTAATGTTAATATATATATATAACAAAAGCAAAACCATTATTTCAACATGCCTTTGCATTAGGAACACAGAATGACCTCAGCAACCAAGAGACAAAGCCTACATATTTTCAGGCTTTGACCATGTATCTTTGTAAGCATGTTTTTTAAGAAAGTTCTTAAAACACTGAAGTCTCCGAAGAGGTAGACCGGCTCAGTAGCCTCCAAAACAGGAGAGGCTTACCTATCACACTTTTGGCAAAAGAAGCTCGTTTCAGGGTTGCCAGACCAAGGTCTCCAATCTTGACTGATCCAGTGGGGCCAGTAATGAAGATGTTGTCACATTTTAAGTCTCTATGAATGATGGGAGGAGTACGTGTGTGCAGAAATTGTAAGCCTTTCAGTATCTGACGGCACCAGCTTCGTAGTACTTTAATTTTCATCACTTTAAATCTTTTCAAATACCTAATGAAAGAAGTAACAATAGGTTAAATAGATTCTGCTAACAAACAGTAGATTAAACTATACCATTTGCAGTTTGGAAGCAAAGAAACTGTAATTAAGGACATGTATGAATTTCAACTTCTATTTTAAGACCGACCTGAGCATTTCATTACTTCAGAGGAGCTAAAGATGATTCCCCTCTACAAAATCTATCCCCTTTCTTCTAGCCAGTTTGGTGTACATAGCTGATAACTCCTCTGCATAGAAAATCATTCTACAGTGATTAGACAGCTGGATTGGTAAATTTCGAGGCACTGCTTCAATGACAAATAATTCAAGGCTCATGAATTACAGTTCTTTACATATTTAACTTCTCAAGCACTCACAATCTCTACTTTGATTAATTATAACTGGGTGGGAAGGTGGGTCACTAGATACAAAATGTTAATAAGCAAAAATGTACAGAGCTGTGGAAAACTGCAAGAGCTCTGACATCATTAGTCCCTTGTTTACAAGAGCAGTCATGCACTGTGTTCAAGGTTTCCACATTACATTTTAAATCTGCTTCAAATTTACCTGTGGAGTTAGCAAGTAAATTAGAAATTCTTAGAGATCCCCTCCCTGGTGCAGGACACAGTTTGATCACCTGAATCCAACTGGTACTACTCATTACTTCAAAACTATGGACAGATAAGAGGGCAGAGAAACCTTTAAGAAGGCTCTGCCAAAGAACTGAGGTGGAAGAGTTCATACATAAGTCTGTATTCTTTTGCAGGTAAAATGCAATCCAATCCTAACTGTTCTATCTTTGTCACTCCTTGAAACCCCATGTAAGAAGAGTCAAATTTCATACCAAAAACATTTTTCAATGAGCGTGACCTAAGACTAAGATCTTATTTTGTTACTTAACTTCAGCAGGTTAGAGATGCCACAAGGTGAATGACCTCTGACACTTTTCAAGTGCTTTCCAGCAGGGTTTTCTCTCAACCTCTATTTGGGTAACATAATTTGAAGTGATGAGCTGTTTTGTCCCTTCTGAAAAAGTACAGGCCAGACTACATGTAGAGAAAGGACTTAGCATGCTCTGTAGAACAAGGACTTTATTCTTGTTTGGGCAATATTACTCAGTCAGAGTCTCAGATAAAGATCAGTTTCACACTACAGAAAGACTGCTGGTAAATTATGTGACCAGCACAGAGTCTAACCACTGCAAAATTAAAACTAAAAGCAAGTTGTGTTCAATTATTCCATGGTAGTGGTCAATCTCTTCTGCAGATTCACTTAACTAGAAGATACAGTCCTGATGAAATCACTTCAATCATCTCCAACACAGAAATGCAGTGTATTCATCACTTCTACTTCAATTTCTCCAGTTCAAAATAAGATCTGGAAAATCAAGTTGCTAGCAATGATCCTGCTGTGAAAATAAGTCTGTAAAAGCAATTGAGCCAGTTCCAGAGGAAATCAGGTCTCAGAATGTAAAGGAAGGCAGGGAAAAAGCCAAGTCAAGGAAGGAAACAAACTGAAGGAGGTTCTGAATCACACCAGCTACCACTTGAATTCTTGCTATTGACAAAACCCTCATTCATATCTCTTGAGCCTGTTCCAAAGATCACATGGTAGGGGCACTTCAGTTCAGCATCTGGAATCCCTAATTACATTCTTGGTTACAAATATGCTAGTCTGCTGCCAGCTTTTCACTGCTAAAGGACCTAGATCCAACCATCATCCAGCATCATGCAGTGTGGCTGTCACTGTTGCATAACACTAACCTGAATTAAGTCACATGTCACTTAATGCAAAAAAAAAAAAAAACAATTTAAAATGGAAGCCCATATAAATACATAAAAATAGACAAGCCTACTATGTAAATACATATAAATACACATAAAATAGACAAGTCAGTATGTTTTCACTTTTCCTACTATCATGGAATAACCTGGGCTTGAAGAGACCTCAGGAGGTTTCCAGTCTAAGTTTCTGTAATTACAATTACACAGAGCTCAAGGAGCTGTAGGAATCCTCACTAAAATAAAATATGAGAGAAGAATCCTTATTAAAATAAAACGTGAGAGGAATTTTCCTTTAAGACATCATCATACTTGTATTCTGTTCACTTTTTTACATCAAGTGACAAGAATGTCTATGTCCCAAGTACCAAAAGAAGAAAGGCATCATTTTTATCAAATGCAGGTATGGTAAACATATTGGAAGTAATAGTCAAATATATGCAAACACAAGTGTAAAGTATAAATCTAGGAAAATGCCACAAGCACATGAAATAATTAAGATACACCTGAAATCTCCCACACATTAACCTCAAGTCTCAAGCAAAGTGGACTAGAATAAACTAAATTACAATTATAACACCAACTGTACAAGAGTAGGGAAAACTCCTAGTCAGAACTCTACAGTTTAAAAGATTTTCAATTAAAGGGTCTATTACTTTTCTCCGGATTAAATAAAAATACTTTCTTATTTCAAGATACAAAATAATCCCACAGGCAGAAAATCTGGAGTATTTCTTCCTACCAACACCCTACTTTATAATTGCCTATTATTACTTCATCATCTTACTTATGATACCATAAGCCAACCCAAATATTAAAACCTATGAGAGGGATAAAAGAGTAAAAAAGGGAGGGAAAAAAATTAATTTAGCACTACACATGTCACAGAAAATTAAGTACACTTTATTTAAAGGCATTGGTACAGAGGTGCAAAACCATTAACTTACTACTTGTCTGAAAAAAAAGCACATGAAGCAGCAGATCTATTATTTCACCTGAAATACCTTAAGCAACCTGAGAAATGTTTCCATGAACATACACAAAGAATGTTGTTGCATCCTGAGCCATCCTATTCAAGTACTATTTCAAGAGACAAACACTTCCCTGTAACTGCAGCCCAGACTCCCAGAGAGCCATTTTTCTTCTTAAGAATGTCCATTTGTAGTTATCAATAAGCATGATAAAAAACACAAGACATTCACAGGCTATTTCAGCCAAAGGGAAGTCAAACTGTTTCCAGCTCCTGCAGCCTGCTTACACATGTAGGGTGTGAATGCCTCTCCAAGAGTGAAACGGGTGCTGAACAAAGTGAGGGATGCAGAGCCCCTTTATTCCAGAGCTGGCAGCTTTACCCCAGCACAGGGATGGTGGCTGGCACTTGGGACATGCTCCCAGAGAGGAGCAGAGCCCTTTATTCCAGAGCTGGCAGCTTTACCCCAGCAGAGGGATGGTGGCTGGCACTTGGGACACGCTCCCAAGGAAAAAAATCAAAGAAATTCTGAAAAGTGAAAACCAAGTATTGCCTTCCTGAGCTCTTAAAACTCAAAACTCTAGTGCATGTGCTTACTGGAACGTCACAAGTAAGAACTGACAAGCTTGCTAACTTAAAAGATATTCTACCATGTCCTGCAATGCTAGTAATGCTCCTCTTAAACAAGAATGTTCCTACAGTAGGTTATCCCTCAGCAGAAGGGCTCTGTTCTCATCCACTCTAAATATCACCTACTTCTAGTGCTCTAGTGTTGTGCTAATGAAGCTGAACAGCTGTGACTTGTCTTAATTTACTTACGTTTTTAATGTTCCAGACGTCATGAGTTCCGTCACAAGAACAATACACTTTTTTCCTTTGACTGTAGACTCCCAGGAATCATAGAACCTGACAATATTGGGATGCTGAAGCCCTTTCAGCATCCCAGCTTCCTCTTTAAATCTTTGTCGCTCTGACTTGGACAGCTTCCGATCCTAATGAAAAAGAAAAGGTGCATCAGAAAGTTTTGCTTTATTTTCTTACTGAGAAGCAGCAACTTGAAAACAGTTAGGTACACACAAGGATCGTGTATCTTAAATGCCATATGGTTTGCAATTATCTTTAAATATTCTGTTTTGAACACCTTCTATTACAGTCTTTTTATAATATATTGTTCTTTATAATTCTATTGCTCTTAGGGTTAAGACCTGCATGTCTTAACATTCTTTCTGCTTTCTCCTGCTTTGCTACTCTTAATAAATTTAGCCTGACTTGGTGTGGAAAGGGGATATGTCTTGAACACTTCAGTGTCTGAGAATGAAATCAAATCATTTAAAGCATGTCCCTCTCATTTTGTACATAACCTTTCATTATTCCTAGATGTCTATCCGGACCACTGGTTAACAGATGGGATTAAGAATCAAACCTCTGTTAACGTATAGTATGTTCCTGTAGCTGCAGACCATCAAGTGAATGAATTGGATTTTCTTTGATTAAATGCAGAACTACATGATTGAGCAAGTTTCCTGAAATCTCCTGTCAACAAAACCAAAAAATGTAGCTCCTAGTAGAGACAGAAAGCAATCTTTTGGTCAGAGGCAGAACGCAAAACAGCATTCCTGGACAATACAGTTGTATTGCAGCTGGCTATCAGCTATCACCAAGACTCAGAGCTGCTCCTGAAGCAGCAGTACATCTCAAAGAGAAGACATCTTGTGCCATGAAGTGTTCTCAGTTAACCAATGCATGACCAATGGACTGCTCACACCAGTCAGACTGACTGACACAAACTGGGTCCATATGCAGTTCGCATTAAAAAACCAAAGTATTTCAGGATATACTTATAGCCAAGAATTTCAGAAGGATAGTTTCTAAGTTATTTAGCAATAACCAAAGACCTGTTTGTCAGATCTGAATAATAATTTTAAGTCACTTGATTTCACATTGTCTATTCTATTAAAAGGAGGCAGTAAAAACAAGCAGGATTTACTTATACTCCCATTGTGCTCCAGACAGTAATTCCTCTTCCTTTGTTTACAGGTCATGTGTTTTCTCAATATAATTCAGCCATGTAATATTGAAACCATCCTACATTCACTAAGACATCAACACTTTCTAAAAGGTTCACAGAGTATCTTCAGACATGGACAAATTTTTTTACAGACGAAGCTCCAATTTTCAGAAGTATAAAATTTCCCCAGGTAAAAGTCTGAAAACAGGTTTGAAATCACCTCAGGGATCAGTTTCCTATTGGTGTCTAGAATGTCACTCAGCTTTACAATTCTTAGGAAAATGCAAAATCCTTATGTATGACTAATTTAATCTACAGACATCAAAAAGCACTCCATCCTACAACTACTTCACTCTGCACAAACCAGCATTACCACCTCTTCCTATTCTCTCATAAGTGTACCTGCACAAGTTTTGATATAACGTTTGAAGAAATGCTTCATCAGCAACTGAGCATTCATGTCTGTTTAGGTGTTGCAGGAATTTTTATATGTAATTAGCACTCTCATTTGAGCTGTCTTACCCCTCTAATAGCTTTCCTTTCAGGATAATGAACAAGGCAGCACAAGTTCTGTTTCAAACCTTGATCTTAACTGCTTCAAACTGCTGAGACAGAAAAGCAAGAGGCACAGCTGACCATATACATATGCACCAGTGCTTCAAACAACACAATTACAGTATCATCTTTCTTACAGGAAAATAAAGCAGTATTCTCAGCCTCTGCACTCAACCCATACAAATTCACTTTTTTAAGCCAGTGTACTCAGCTGTAAATTCAGCTACTATATATCGTCATTATACAAAAAAGGCTGCAATAATTACTTTTCTATCACTTTTAAACAGCCAGTATGAAAACCTACATTCATTTTGGTCCAAACACAAGGTTTTTGATACACATTTAGATAACACTTCCTTGATTGTGTGCATACTAACAAGTAATCTACCACAAACACTGTAAACCAGTTTTAGACCAACACTTAACACCAAGTCAAGTGCATTTCATTTCATTCTCATTTTAACCCACGTAACGCAGTCTGCCTTAAGGGTTTTATTCCGTTTTCCCTGCCCCTGTACTACTGTCCCCAAAGAGAAACTAACAAGTGCTAATCACTTTTATCAATTAACAGACTCCTAAGAGGCACTCACATTTGGACTCACTTCTCTCTCTGGTCACATCCATGGCAGCATCATGCTCCTGCAAACATAGCTGTGCCATTCAACACTTTAGTGCTGGTATTAAAAACCCACCAAGACCATGCAATAGACCAAGTAAAACAATGCTGCTTTGGAAGTCACAGTGCCCCAGTGATCTGGGACAAGTCTGGACAAAGCACAGGCCAAAAACTTTCACCCAGGAACACAGCTATGTTTTTGCAACCAAGGAAACCCTGCACCCTTCAGTACATAACTGCAGCAGCAAAAGGGAACATTAAACAGAGCTGGAAGAAAAAGACAGAGAGGCCACTTGTTTCCTAAGCCCAGCAGTGCATACTACCTTTTACTACCCTCATTTCCTTGGACACACAACCCACACCCTCATCTGTAATAGGTTTTTATATTCTTCTCCTAAAGGAACACTAATGCTAGGCTACAGACGACTGTCAATATACTTTAAAAGAACCCACAACTCTAACATTTGAGAAAATACTAGATCTCCTGTACAATTATACCAACAAAGTCTGTATACACAATGACTGGTTTTAGTTGTACAAATTACATTCTAATGCAACTTGCAAACAGTTGGCCTGCAGGCCAACACACAATTTAAAATGACAAGTCCGTTTTCAAAACTGTAATAATTAAAAATATTAGACAGCAAGATCCCCCAGGCTGCATACACACAGACTAGAATAGTCCCAAATGCATGTTGGCATCCTTTGAGCTGTTAGTATGGGCAAAAGTGACAACTTCACTTCATGCTTGTTCTTGTACAAAAATGCAACTTAAGCAGCTGCAGCTACTAAAACATTGAAAAAAGCAAGTAAAACAGAGCACTGCATGAAATTTGGGAGACTGAGATGTTACCAGGAAAAGCAGGGGAATGAGAGTATCTTGGCATCACATGGAATTCAGAAAGTTGCTGTACAGCATAGGTGTGGCAGAGAGAGAAAAGCCATCATCACTTGGTGAGAATTTAAAAAGAGTGCTTTGCAAGACTTTGGGAAGGGAACAGTTTCCACTGTCCTCAGCTATAACTGCATACTCCAAAAGACTCAAGCCCAGATGTGCCTTCCCAACAAGGCAGCTACTGGGAGCAGTATTCAGAATTTGTCATGGACTCTGAGCAGGAGTCTGCAGACTTGCAGGACCTTCAGCTGTATCTCCACTGCTAAAGATATAATGAAATCTGTGGCCTATCACTCAAAATATGCCCTCCTTTTCATTAAATTATTTTAAGTGTGGATCAGATCAGCAGATTTATCTCCTGCAGCCTTTTTCCTGTAACTCAGAGTCTAAATATGTACATAGATGGATCATTTCCACACTTATTTTTGTTTTCATTTGAAAGCAGAAATATAGGTTTCACAGATTAACATTCTAGTTTCACCAAGTACAAGATCAGTTAGACAATTTTAATGTTTTTGTTGATTTCTAATTTTTTTTTAATCAAACAGCCAAAACCAAGTATAAAGACTCACAAGTAGTTTTCTGTAAGCCTAGGAAACTTCACAAATTTTATAAAGAAGCCAGCACTTTAAGAACAGTTAGTAATATACAGCTCGATATCCTATCCTTCAAAGACCAAATAATTTTTGACTTCCCACTAATAAAATTTAAAATGGACATACTCTCTCCTTTCTTGGTCTTTTTTTACCATAAGCAGTCTTAGGCAGACAAGACAAAGTCCTAAATCTAGAAGTTAGCAAATCACATTCTTGTAGTAGCTCAGCTGGCACATGCTGAGCAGATATAGCCCAAATATTTTTAAAAATATACAAAGCTGTCAAACTATAGGAGAGCTTGCTTCCTAAAATAGATTTAACTACCTATAAAATGGACAGCATTGTTCTTCCTAAACTGATAGCTTCCCTCGAGGGCCTAAGTGTCACATCCCAATCACTGGGCTGCCCTTTGAACAAACTGAAACAGATGCATCAATCCTACTCTGCTCATTTCATTCATTCCTTTCCACCTAATTAAATTGTTTTGACAAGCCAGGACACACAGCAAGGCGTCCCAGCACATGATTCTGCAGTGCCAGGGGCCTGAAAGGAGACAAGCAGCAAATGAAACAATTCAGTAAGCTTTTTCTTGGCTGTTTCCACTTATCCAGGTCCTTCCCATCAGATTTATTTTGGTCAGGAAAGAGCTATCAGAGGTGTTTACATTTTTCCAAGTGAAACAGGGATCTTGGGCATTCATGATAAACCAGGTACAGGTTTACTCTTCCACTGATTTCCTTAACATACAGCAGCATGAATTACATGCAGCATTGTTACTACCCTCTTTCTACCCCTGTACCTACATGCCTTATATAAATGAAAACCAAACCAACCCAAAACAACTCCCTTCCCCCCCAAGATTAGCTAGTGTACCAAGCCACAACAAACAAAACTCATAAGCAAAAAATGCCTATAGTCCTTTGGTGATTTATTTCAGCCAAGAAACTATCTACTCAGCACCCTTAATAAGGAAAAAAAAATACATTTCTGGCACTTAAGTTAAATTTCACCTAAATTAAATTAAAGACTATGGGAGACTCCCATAGTCACTGTGCCTACTGAGTAATTTCCCATGTGTTTTCCTTTCTACCTGTCCACAGTCCTTCTGAATTCTGTCCTGTTCACATCAGGACAAGAAATCACATCTACAGAACACATCCCAGAACACCTACAAATAAGTAGACTCATAAGTGATATAGGTCAGCTTTAAACTGTTTAGGTTTTGGTTTGGTTTTTTTTTTTTTTTTTTTTCTGGTTTTTTTTTTAATCTCAGTGGATGAGCTGCTACACAGTTTAGAGCTCTTCCTTCTTCCACAAATACT